TACCAATGTGAAAAAAATATTTTCATTACTGACAACCAACTGATTAATTTCAAGAAGATACCATATGAACCCCCCCCCCCCAAAAAAAAATGAAAAAAACACAATTGTTTGCATGGACATCATTTTCATTAGCAAATATCTATTTATTTTTATATTGGATCACATTTGTTTCTCGGTTATTTGTTTTGTACATAATCAGGTCAATAGTTTTCTCGTTTGAATCTTACTTTGCGATATGGGTTTTGCTAAAATATGCTAAAGGCTGTACGGTGACCTATAGTTGTAAACTTCTATGTCATTTGGTCTCTGGTGGAGAGTAGTCTCATTGGCAATCATATCACATCTTCTAATTTTTATATTGAATTATAATAAATTTCTTGTGTAAGGAAACAAATAGTTGTAATCTGCATGTATAATTGAGGTTTACTGCTAACTTTGACAAATATCTTGTTGAATTAGTTACTGAAAGTCCGATGTCAAATATTTCATGCATTTCAACAAAATCAAAATATTATAAATTTCTAAACAAACGCTGCAAGATGTTTCAGAGCTGTAAAGCCTTTACAAATACATTTAATTCTAATGATAAAATTTTAAGAATATACTGCTTAGGACCCAGCATTATGATAGTTCTTTAAATGCATCAAAATATTTAAAGTTAAGCCATTATTTCCCAAAAACAAATCTGTCAGACGTCAGAGCAATCTCGGACTAGGTTGAAGGTTGTTTTAAACTTTTGAATTTATTCAAAAGGTGTACATGTAATCGGTGTTATAACCTGATACATGCTATATGAAGAGGCCATCACGTGCGTATAATTATCCACCTCTCTTAGTGTTTAAAACATTTTCTATAAATATGTTAAATTACATTTTACGATATTTTACGATAGAGAAAACCATAAATATTTGTGTTACACTCGATTAAAGTTTTCAATCTTTAACTTAAAATTTGAGTTATCCGGCATCATCCGGCACACTACACGCGCATCACATTATTTTCTGCAAACACTCTACTTCAGAGTCATGTAATTTTCATAACCGGATATTTCCCGATTTCCTAGTTCCAGTGATAAAAACATATTAAACAAAACTAAAAATAATCTTACCTTCTTTCCGAATACAGTTAATTTTCTTTTGTCATTCTGTTAAATATGGACCGATTTTTTAGATTGTTTCAGCTGTAGTCTTTAATTATTGAACGGAAACAGGTGTCGTTATTCATGTAGCGATTCGCAATTAGCCACGGGAGTTTCCGTGTTAATTTACATTGGTAGGTAGATAAGACCTTCGATAACAGATCACGTGATAAGATCAGTTTCTGTAAACTAGACAGGCGAAGGCGGCATCGCAGATACCCCACAAAGAAGTTATCACGTACTTGAAAAACTGAGTCGGAACCTTTTATTTTCCTAAAGAAGTCAGTGGGATGCGAATGTGCTAATTTTTCGTTGGAGTTCCTGTCAATATAATACTTCCATGGTACTAAATCAAATTTGGGGGTGTTTTTACATCTACAACAAGTTACAGTTAATAAGATACAAAAAAAAATCATAATGATTTATTTAATATTTTCCTTACGTTGTCATAACCTTTATTTTACTTTTCGTGATTAATATTACTACTAAAAAATGGCTACAGTATTACGGAAGAGTATATTGGCCTCGTGTTCGTTAATTTTTAACGAATATTTAATTAATTTTAAGCAAAATAACATTATTTCGCAATTTTTCGGTATAAATAAAATGCGTTTGGAAATACTTTTGCTCATTATATAATTTTAAATCATAAAGTAATTATTTTGTGTAAGAGTTGTACGAATTAAGGAATTCAACTCTAAACTATGACGGCATATTTCTGCCTCAGATAGTTTTCTCGCATGTAGACCTAAATATCTGCAAATGGGACTTGAATGTCTGACAAGTCGACTTAAGTATTTGACAAGTTAATATCTGACAAGTTATTTTTTTAAAGAGACACACTGAATTTAACTGAAGAAGAAAAAGACAATATTTTGGAATTTGCAAGTGTATTTGAACTTATTTAACGAATTGTCGGGCCTCATTGGCCGTTAGGTCTCAGTAGATATTTACAGTAATCACTAACCTATTAACACTGAGGTTGTGAATTCGATGAACCCCGCTTATGACATGTGCATTCGACTTTGATCCTTATTGACTAGGATTGCTAGTCACTTTCCTGCTGAAATGCGATGGGTCTCTCAATATATTATAATAGTACATAATAAAGCCACCTCCCCTCCCCAAAAATCATATTGGGACATTAATTAATTCATTTTTGACGGAATTCGAAATCATATAAAAATCATACGCAATTCTATATTTGATACGCAAAAGTTTGATCTCAGAACTTCATACCGGTTTTGATTACAGCATTTTTTTTAAATTCTAAAAAAGTGAGAGAAAAAACCAAAGAAAGAAAGTAAATTAATCAGAAATTTTTAAAATGCAGGCGCTTCTTCTCTTCGCTACGATGTACCTTTATAGAATTACATTACATATATGTTTCATTAATACGTTATTTTGATTGGCTAACAACAATCTCGCGTCATTCTGAAATTAACCTTCATTTCAAAAAAATGTAATTATAAGTATAATTGATTGCTCCTTTTTAGGGCTGTAAACCGTTAACCGTGCGCACATTTTTAGAATGAAGCAAAATGTGCTTCGGTCAACGCTTTTACATCCCAATAAATTTACAAAAAGAAGCATTCAATTCTTAAAAAGATTTTTTTTTTGTCTCGATAACACATTATGCCAAATAAATCGTGAATGAATGCGACACCGTTAACTATTATGTGACGTACAGTTTCTAAATGACTATATGATAGTTCAACCATTTTTGGTGTGGACTTAATACAAGAAGCACGTTCCTATTGATTTTATCCCATTTGCCAACTTCGGTGATCAGATATTATTTACTAGATCTTGCTTTCACAAATACAATTAAATCGGTCACTGTATGGTCATCTTCAATGTTTAGCTATATATATTTCATGTAAAACTATATATTTTTTTTTAGGTATTTATAGTTGGATTTTCCCAAACTATGTGTACATTTGTTTTCTCCTGATGTGAATATTTATAACATTTTTTAGCAATTTAATTTGGTTGAAATATTTAGCAAATTTTAGGACAAAAAATATATGTTTATATCATCAGAAGTCAGAACGAACATGACAACGCTTCATACCAAATATATAATCAAATAAACAAATAAACATGTGACAGCTCTGCTTCTATTGGTACCAAGCTGATTAAAATACAACTAGAAATGGCACACAATATGTTCTAGAAAAAACATAGTTTTCTATGAACTATATACTTGTTGTTACTTATATACTTAAAATATTGTAGGTGTCAAATCCTTATGGCCATGCACTGTACATGTCCTTTCATTCACAGAACGAACACAATAAATATTCCTTACATTTCCTTTTTTCTACAGAACAAATGATGTATACCCATAGATCTTCTTTTATTCACAGTAATCACTGTGTAAAAAGGATATACTAGGGGGCAGTTTTACAACACGTCAATATTACAGGACTTTGACGTTAACATAAGACGTTACCAAAAGTGATACCAATATCGTGTGTAACGTCCCAGGTGGAGGTGGAGGTGCTATTGGGTGTCCTATCATACATTAACAAACCAGCAGATATCGCTCGGCTGTAATTGTATACTCAACGTTTATCGCTTTAGGCTCCGCCCACAGCCGGACTACTTTTTGTATTGATTGCTAGCATTTCTCCTGTTTCTTATCCTCGTACAAATACAGCTGATAACTAAAGACACTAAACACTCATTTTCTATATAATCTTAGACTAATTCTTAGTTTATATAAGGTTTAGGCATACCACTTAATTTTTGTGGGCGTGACTTAAACTAACTAAGATTTTATTGTAAGTAAATACTTAGTTTAAGATTTTTATGCATACCACTTAGGTAAAAAGGGCGAAGTTTCCTTGACAAGCGTTTACTAAAGACAATCTTAACTAAGTAGCTTTATGCATACGGGCCCTGGGCTTGCTATAATCACACATATAATGAACATATGTGTCCCTCCGACAGCAAGAGGGTTTATATATTATATTTCTAAAAAAAAGATTTTTCTACAAAATATTTTTTATAAGGATATTTTTGTGTGTGAAATATCTTTTTGGTGAAGCTATATTGCTCATATATATATTGACCAAAAACTATGCGCGAAAAGGCCATGATACAATTAAGTCAAATACGTAAGTTTCTGATATCATATTGACAAGTAACCTTGTACGAAAGTGTCAAGATTATATCAACCTGTTCATTTATCAATAAAATTGACATAATTTTGAAAGACTTGAATATGATTACAATTTTTGCAATTACAGGGTCCAAATAATGGCACTTATCGTACCTCGTCCTTTGTTAGGAGAGGTCTTATGACTGACCAAGTGCTGTGTCTGTATGACAATTGAAGTTTTAATCATTATATATATAACTGATAAGGTTTAGATTAGGCCCTATCGAAATATATGAAATATTTCCTTTCTAAGAATCGCCTAAACAGCCCGATTACTATGACAGGAAAGCTTCTTGAATTTATGCTGAATTGCAAGTAATGTTTTATAATTGATTTCGCTTTGTGAAAGTATAATAACTGGATCATAATTCTAGAAGAATAGAAATACATTATACCTATGAATTATACATATTTCAGGGGGAGGGGAACACACTAGGCGAGATTTTCAAATAGCAAAACATTTCAATAAGTATCGAGGCGATGATGAATATTTCATGTCAAATTGTTTACTTTGCAAAGCACTTAAACACTTGACAGACAGTATTGGAAACGTTTGTTTAACTATCAATAAACCATAACACTATACAAACGTCATCACTGTCCAAGACATCAACAGAATTCTTGTTCCAGTCAATAATTGGATGAATGATAAAGCAACATAATAACGAGAAACCCACTCAGGTGTATTTGTCAATAGAAAATTACATCGATGCTATGTTACAGCTGAAAACAGATAAAAAATAGATAGAAGCATCATTTCCTGAACAGCAAGTTTACGGTATTAATTATAGATCTGTTTCATAATATAGCAATTTTCCAATTGATTTTAAAATATTTGTATTCAGTTCATAGACTACCATCCAGGTAAGAACTTCGTTACATTTAGTTAAGACGTTTAGTGCTTTATTTTTTTTCTGGTTAAAATCAAAGGAAGAGTTCTAAGCTCGTTTTTCTTTTCAAAATATATCAGCCAAATCCTTAAATACGAAAAAACACACAAACACACGAGTTTCCAAGCACTAACCTTATTCACCAGGAAAGCAATAGCTTCATAATTTTAACATGCTGAATATGCTTGAAGGAAGATATTTTGTTTTAAGTAAAATCGTTACATTTTTAGATATAAAAACTTAAGAATTATCAAAATTGATTAGTTTTTAAAGTAGTCTGTGAAATTCATATATGAAGAAGTCGTTTTTAAATTATTTTTTTTATCCTTCGCTACGATCACTCCGTTGAAAGACAATTGACCAATTGTGAAACACTTAAGCTGGTAAAGCTTCAAACATATGATAAAGAAAACAGAACAATCACTAAACAAATGACAAAGTTCAAGGAAAACAATACCATCTGTAATACTAACTGGGACGACCTGTTTCGTGTGTCGTTCTTTAGCTACCAAATTAATTATAAATCAGTATGACTCTGTATCTTTAAACTCGCATAGAATGTGAAGTTGGTTATCCTTACTTTTCAATATTATAAGTTTGGGTTTTCTGGATTATTATGGAAAACGCCAGGATTTCCGAATTATCTTACCATCATTTTATTTGGATTAATGGCGATATATTCGTTTCTCATATAGGAAAAACAAATTACTAAATTCAATATCATATAAATAAAAAAAAACGTCGCACCACAATGGACCGTTCACTTTTCCCACAATATTAAATATCCTTGTGGTACTCATCTTACTGACACTATGGAATTGGCCTAAATGCTAAAACTTCACATTTTCAAGTTACATAAGAGTATAGAAACTGAAATGACGAGAAAACATTTTGAATAGTCTAGTATCATTTATTGTATCAATAAAACACACGTCTTTCAGAATTATAATTAAATACGAATCTAAGGCAGTCGATCCAAAGTATGAAATACAAAATGTGTTTTCGTAGTTTTCTTTCTGTAAAACGCGGACACAGTTAAGTGTATTCTAACACACTATTTTTATCATTTCGATATTTCTAAAAACTGTAATTTATTCAAAGTGAAAACAATACCCTCCGTTCAATAGCTCTGTCACGATTATGCTGGACTTGATGTATATTTGAAAATTGTGTTGAGATCTTAAAAATTAGTTTAACCTCGCCACATGTTAATTTGTCTGAATTTTGTTAGTGGCTCTTATTTGCTATATATCTAAAAAAAAAAAAAATTGTTATCTAGGTTTTTTTTATTGATGGCAGATTTGAGAAAATCTCTATTTAATTGATAAAGAAACGATTCTACAATCAAGGCGATTTAGAACTTGACATATTCTCTATTGTTAAATGTATGATAAAATGGTGATATCTTTTGTCTTTAAATGTAATTTGGCTGTTGTCTCATTGCCGTATACATAACTTATGTTGTTTTTATTTTTTTATTTTTTTTTTTTTGTGTTTTTTTTTTTTTACATATAATATTCCTTCATCGGACTATTGATACAACTGCTTTTTTGTATCGACTTGACAAAAAAGTAATTAAATGTCCAATGGAACGCACAAGTTCTTTTACAATGCGAGTCTAGGCTGTTAAAGTTGGGGTGTTTTTTAACGCTTCTGGCACCCGATCTAGTAAATATTATTGTAGTTAAAACAAAAAATGGAGCGGCAACATTGAGCCAATTCTTAGGATGGCCCAAAAACATCTTTGGGTCTATATCAAAATATCCTAATCCGTGTTCACATTGAAGCTGAAACAAGTTTGAAACATGTTTAATTGAATTTGTGAGCATTAATTACAAAGTATCGATGCTTTAATTTTGAAAACACATGAAGCGTCTGATTGACTTTGAATACAGAATTGAATGCATGTCAAACAATGGATTAGATTTTATTTCAAATATGTAAACAATAAAACTTGTATACACTAAATATGTTTTATGTAAACAATAAAACTTGTGTACACTAAATATGTTTTATGTAAACAATAAAACTTGTATACACTAAATATGTTTTACATGGACAGTGTGAACGCAGCCTTGGTGTTCACTAAGCTGGGTACGAATGGAAACTTGTATTAAAACCATGAAAATCAAAGAAAACTCACTAATTTTAAAATCGCATTTCAGAGTTGGGCAGGCGGTAAATAGTTTGTTTGGTTACCTCGCACACACTTAAAAAACAAGTCAGAAACAAGAAGGGTGACTGATTAGGCAAATTTGACAATTCGCCAGTACGTGTCTCGATCAAGCAAAATCAGAACACATACAAAAAGAAAGGCACATGTCTTTGAATTCACGTGTATTGGATTATAACTCCAAAGTTAATATTGAACCCGTCATGAAATAATAAAATGATGTTAATCAGGCAGTTTTTGTTATACGTTTTATTAAACCCCTTGATGTCTGCTACATCCTTTAAGCAATATGAAATAAGGCTCGACAGATTTGTTGATAATCCAGAACGAATAATATTCCTCCGCCATCCCTAAAAACAAAAATCACTATAGACCATATTAGCATAAAGGTAAATTGATATCAATTGCACTACTTTTTTTCTTCTTTTTTTTATCTGATGACGTTCACATAAAAAAGTATAAATAACCGATTGTGTTCGTGTAAATAAATTACTCTGTTTTCTAATGAATATCGATCTAAATCCATTTCGTTCAATCGGTTTAGCTGCTGAAGCAAAACACAGATTACACGCATGCGTAATTCATTATTTTACATCCTGATTTAAATGTATCTTTTTAACACCATCTCTCTTAGAAGGACAAGAAGATCGATCGCAATTTTTCTCTTCATTATATGCTTGGTACGTAGGACTAAACTACTCCCGCTGTACATTATAATGACCCGCTTTTCCATGACTTTCCATATACGTGACCTTATTTAACTTGTCAACAAGCTATATCGATAGCAGGAAATATTTATTGACAACACTCACGTGGGTCAAATATTAAAACCCGTTTAATATGACATCAAAAGAGCATTACAAATCGTTAAGTATAATTTTTGCTGCATTTAACAAACACAGATATTGAAAACTAATAAATTTCCAGTCAATATAGAACTTTTAAAGTATCATATAACAAAAAAACTTAAATATGATTCAGACAACCAGCGAAAGTTAACATGGACAATACCTTCGAATTTTATGAAATGGTAAGTTGGAAATTGTCACATTTTAAAGTTTCGTCTATATCTTATTGGTTTTGATTTCTGGTAATGTTAACTATATGTTAACAATCTTTCAAAATGAAAACAAAGAAATGTCAATCCTTTGAAAAAAATAAGATTGCGGTATTACATTTCATCGGTTTGACCAAAGTCGAAGTTAGAACGACGATACGTGACAGACAGATTTTTTTTTACTTTTGGAAACTGTTCGCGATGAAAACGGTCTTTCTTTACGAAAAACGGAAACTGGTGTCCCATTGATTTAATGAATGACAATAAAAATGAGCGTCTATTCGTCATTTAAAACATACGGTAAACTCTGCAACTTTATGCGAAGGGATTAAAGGGTTTTTTTAGGCGGAGGGTTTGTAGTATTTTTTAGGAGGAGGGTTTGTAGGATTCTTTAGAAGGAGGGTTTGTAGGATTTGTTAGGCGGAAGGTTTGTAGGATTTTTTTAGGAGGAGGGTTTGTAGTATTTATTAGGCGGAGGGTTTGTAGTATTTATTGGGCAGAGGGTTTGTAGGTTTTATTAGGCGGAGGGTTTGTAGTATTTATTAGGCGGAGGGTTTGTAGGGTTTTATTTAGGCGGTGGGTTTGTAGTATTTATTAGGCGGAGGGTTTGTAGTATTAATTAGGCGGAGGGGTTGTAGTATTTATTATGCGGAGGGTTTGTAGGGTTTATTAGGCGGAGGGTTTGTAGTATTAGGCAGAGGGTTTGTAGGGTTTTTATGCGGAGGGTTTGTAGGATTTATTAGGCTGAGGGTTTGTAGTATTCATTAGGCGGAGGGTTTGTAGGGTTTATTAGGCAGAGGTTATGTAGGATTTTTTATTCATATTGTATTCGCTTCTTCCTTTTTCGACTTTTTGATATTTGGTAGTTGTCTAATTAATAATCGTCCTGAACATGCATGAAATATTTGCCACTGTACGTTAAGCAACCAACAATCAATCAATCAATATAATTAATAACTCCATATATCATTTCAGTTTACCGGTATTTATTCAATTCTACCAATATCAGCTACCAATTTATCAACTATAAAAATTCAATTTTTTATTTTCCAAATTGATATATCATCTGACACTCACGGTTACTGTATATCAATATGTTGGTATTTGGCTGCGTTTTGAAATATATATTATTAGAATGCTTTTTTTTTTGATTATTAGGATTTAAAATCTACTTTATTCATATAACCAACAAAGTATTTAGTTACTTATGAAAATGTTCACATAGCCATAAGTTTATTAGGGTCGCCAAAAAATCGGCAATACTATGATAATATGCCATATTTATTGAGAACTACTTTTTGGTTTTTCGTTTAATTCTTTAGAGATTTACTCATTGATTGCTTTTTACATGAGCAAAACACCAATCTATCACTCTAATGACAGTTCAATCACAATTTAAGTTGGAAACAGACAACATTACACCGAAAATTAATAATCATGAACGTTTGAACTCGAAAGGGGTCAGACTACGCGCGTCGACAGGGTTAGCAATAGAAGAGATGCAGTTCGTACCGATTGGAATATCAATAGTTTGAAATTGAAATTTTATCACCAACACGGCACATATAAATATTCCAATTGAAAAAACAAAGTTTTTTATCATTTCTTTGTAAGTGAATTGACTTTTGTAAAACCAAATTGTATAGAAAGGGAAAATT